AAGGACACCGCCAATTCAGTGTTGGACTTGTGAAGGTTAAAAACTTGTTATGACTTATTGTAAAGGTGAGTGATATGCCTAAAAATGCAACTGCTCATGTACAGTGTGTAGCACGGCTGTTTTGGGAAAGAACTCTACATCGGTCACAAAATGGAAAGTTTTGACTTAGTGATCATCATGACTGGTGTATGTTATATACGTTATTCTTGTAGGCTTTGTCGCAAATCATCGTGCCAATTTTTAACCAGAAACGTACACACCAAAGTAGGTATTAACTGGATAACGGGGGACATACGCTACATAGGAGTGATTGATCTGCAAATATACAGTCTTCAAGTGGGTTTGTAATATTCTGGGATAAAAAGAACTGTCTTAGTCGTAACTGCGTACTTACTCTGACCGTACATAAAACTCACTGTATCGCGTTCGAGTCGATCGAGCTCTTTGTGATCAGAAGAAACATCATTACTAGCGAAAGACATTTGTTGCTGCGGGAGGTATTTCTTGCTAAGATAAACTCTGGATCAAAAAGTATAAATTTTCAAGATAAGATAGCTGCATTTTAAGTACATGAGTACTCAATGCTTACAGCATGTAAGAAGGGATGACATTCTATTGCATGCAAAACACTGTTTTACTCTGCACTCTTCGGTTTTCTAGTCGCGGTTGATTCAACCTACTGTGTTTCTCCGTGTTTGTACGCAAAATGACGTTCAACTTAAACAAGGTCAATAACGCCAACACAAATCTTTCATGGTAAATCGGAACGTATCGTTCCGACTTACACTTTGATCACATGAGTGCAAGTTCTGTCAGAATGATTGGTGACAGTGAGCGTTTGAGCCGGTCCACACAGAAAACACACACGTCCATTTCCATACTAAACAGATCACAGTTTACTGGTTGGAAACAAGTTGCACACTGTTTCCGTTAGGGTTACTTCTCACGAGGCTCAGTGTTAATGAGGTCAAATACCGGAATACATTCCGATGACTGTTCCAACACGGCATCTGATGTCATAGAGAATGCCTTAAGTTAGTGAATGAGTTTGTATGGCCATGTGTGGCTACTGGTAGAGCTGTTGACTCTTCTCTTCCCCCAAATATTTGCAACCAATGGACGTTTCTTGATATAGTCGATGATGTGTCGACCAAAAATTACGATATTTTATTAAGAGTATTGGTGACGAATATAGTTTATCATTACTCATACCATTTAGTTCAGCAGCCTCCTAAAAGAACCGATTACATGTATAAATGGTAAAAGAAATTATCATTTGGGCCACAGTCCATCTTTTTGGGTTCTACTGCAGTTGACCATGAGAATAATCAACTTTTACAGTGGACATTAAAAAGAATATTGGATGCTCTTCAAGTTAGAGTGGCATAATGAACAGGATGGCTACCATTCAATCCAAGCTGGATGTCTCCTGCAAGTCTCGAGGTGAGTTATTTCAGTTGTTAAAATAACCAGCTAACTCTAATCTGAAGTTTTACTCGTGGTAAAACACATCAATGGCAACAAGCGGTAACAGGAGCTAAACATGAATGTAGTGCTTTTATTCAAAAGGATATGACTGGAAAATTTACGTCAATGTGAAGCTTGTCACCATTTGCGAATGATGTTCAATATATATCAACCAGTCTTTTACTGTGTATAAATAAGCAACTAACTGGCTGACTCACTGGTTGCATCACGGACGTACAGTTTGAGTCCATCGTTGAAACCTACCGCATTGATGGGAGGGCAGGAAACGTTATCTATAAGCAGAGGAATCTGGTAGCAGAAAACGTATACTTCGGTCTCCGAAGGCTCCGTTTTCCGTTCAAAGCTCTTTATACTGTTCACTTATGATCTGTAAAGCACCCATAAATTTCTTATTCCCTGTGTTTGCACATGGTGCAAAATAAGATTATAATCCACCTAATTTAGCCTAGTGAAACTACCATTCACTAAAGAAACGTGTAAGCAGTTAATCTTGGAACGAAATATCGTCCCTTCTGTTTTCTACTAAATAACTATAATAATTTGTAAGCTGACATATACGGTAAGCGAGCGACCTGTAGATTCAACTTTCACATGGGGTTCATGGTATCAGCACAGTGTCTGGCAGGTGCTAACGTAGCACATGCGGATGTGTTATATTGTCAGTATACAAAGGCCAGAATGAAGTTTCAAGGACGCACTTTGAGCTTGCAATCTACAATTGATAAAGGACAGAAAATTGTGGAAAGGGTCCAAACTAATTTCGCTCGTCTGTCTCCTGGTTTTAGCTACAAGTCGGCTAAAAGTACACGACAACGTTTTACTAGTTAGGCCAGTGAGGAGTTATCCGATTGAAACATTTCAAATTGTGCGATGGCACTGAGATGTAGATGCCCATGGATTACTTGGGTTCAGGTCACTTGACAGTACCCCAATCCAAACTCTCAAAACTGAATCAAATTTCACCATGAGACCGCTGATTTTTCATAAAAGTTTATCACTGTTTGGAATATAATCCCGTTTGGGTTTCAGCATCTTTATCGATTGATGAACACAAGACAATCGATAGAGCAGTCTCTTTTCAAACCTAGCTTAAAGATTACTAGGCAACCGACCAGCACTTATTAAACTTCTGGTGAACCTGTAATTTGTGTTCTGTCCTATGTTTTCAACGACCAGTCTTTCCCACACATAGACTCTTCCTCTTCTACCATAATCCCACGTCTTCTTATGGCACACATAAACCATGAATGAGGGAGGAGTAGTTGATTAGGAAGACGCGCAGGTCGAATAGAAATTATCAACCTTTATATCAACAGTGAGTACGCCCGTTTACAAACGATGATTTAAATTTTGTCCGTTTGTATGAACAATTCTAACTAGTTGCACCAATTAGTCAACCGATTGAACTGATGACCTTAGTCTGGTAATCAAATCAACTTTGATTTGATGTTGAGGGCGGGAATCCGTTGATGCCTCACCCAGTTAACCCTTCGGTCATTTATTCGAATAATTCTTATACACACTGGGTATTAAGTGATTTTGATAGGACTGATGACTGAGTGAATGAGAACCTTCACTCATAACGCAAATTATCATAAAGCCACTTTCTGTGACGATATTTCAATCTATAAGGACAAACCCGAACAAGATGCAATGTTGTTTTGAGGATAACAGTTGTGAGTGTGGTAAGTCACAGAGGAAGAGGTGCGTCGATAACCCTTTTTAACGAACCCTTTGGGCGTGGTGAAACAACAAAAGCATTGTGCGTGATATCTACAGTCTGAAAAAGATAGAAAGCTATTGGGCGTGTCGTCTCACGAAACATTTTTTTAGGTTACCTGTAATTAAACGTATGCTCATATGGGAGCTCGATTTGTAAAAGGTGATTTCAAGTACGTTAAAGACAGTAGGTTAGGGACACGAAATATTAAACAGAAATACATGGTTAGAGAAGTGATCAAAGTATGATGCATCATTTTTCAAGAAATACCATTCAGAGAGCACAAACTTGTATCGTCCTTGAGTTGAACAAGCTTTCAGCCTCGTTATGCCGAAGAGCATAAGTTTTGCCAGGTGAGTATGACAGCCTTTTCCAGAATGGGGTCTTAGTTCGACCGTTATTAACACTCTGTACCATTACAAACCCCTCAAAGGCAGGCCCAATATAGAGTGACTCACTACTGAAGTGTGTCCGAATAGCTGCTCACCCCTTACATATTGCCGGAGTCGAGGTAAACAATATTGTTAACCACAGAGTCTTCGGACCGAAAATTAGCTACAAGTTGAACGGCTTGAAATTAATCACCTTGCTTGCATATATGACAAGATGATTTCAGAGTACCTTAGCTTAAAATGCAGCAAAATAACTACTAGCAGAATCGAGAAACTTAGCTAACAGAACAACGATATTGCCACCTTAGACCAATCTGAGAGGTGCGACGTGAGAATTAAAGTCAGATTTTATAATGTGTCGCTTACTTGGCGGACAGTTTGAAAAAAACGGTACACAGTTGGAGATTTCTATTCACTCTAACTGAACATCACTCAAGAAACACCCAACTGTCCACGGGTAATCTAAATATTATTGTGCAAATCCTAACTATGGGATCATGGACTGAAGTGAACAGGACAGATACTACATATCTCTTTTCGATGCGGTAGGACAGTCTGAGTGTTACTCAGAAACAAATACGGCTGAGCATTTTCATACGATGTTTCAGTCATGCGCAATGTGAGATAATTAGTACGGTACCGCGGCCTCAGGAAACAGTTGTCGAAGATTTAAATACTTTAAAAAGTAGTCAGTCGTGGTTTCCTTTTTTGTACCTTCCAATTGTACCTGAGGCACTCGGTTCAATAATTCTAAACGCCCAGTGACCGGTTGTCGTGACCTTTGTCAGCTTGGACTTGCGAACATTTGCCATTAAGCAAGTCAACTTTCAAAACACCAGAATCAGCATACTGATTGTTTGGTTCAGGGAATAAAACTGCGCCGTCATGCCCGTTTTTCAGGTCAACTATACAAGCCCTAGATCAATTTACTGCTTGTATGTAGGTCAGGTTTTGGCTTTTGAGAGCGTTGTGCAGACTGTTTATATGCTTGGGTGATTCTACTATAGACCAGTGCGTCACCGAGCTACGTTTTTCCTATAATTCAGATCGTCCCTGGTCAAAATTAGACTCTCCCAATCTTTAAGAACGTTTTGTCTATAGTTATGGAGGAGCTTGTTTCTTCAAAGGTGATATACAATGGGAAAACGCTTGATATTCTCCAGATAACAGTGTTGCTTACTAAAGCTTTTCCACTGTGTGGTGCACCGCACGGGTTTATTATGGAATTTGAACCACGTTATTGGCCAGAACAATGTTAAGTTTGCATAATTTTTGGAGTTTTGTATGCTTAGCTGTGTGATTTAGCCTGCGTAATAGCTGAACTCACAGTTACCTCACTTCATCGATTTGTTTTCCAATAATTCGGTACTGTTTAGATGATAATCAGTTGTGAAAAATCCCGGCTTCGGCTGAAATCGAACCAGCGAAAGAAACTCCATACTCGAACACAACGAGCGCTGTACCAGCTGAGCTATCAAGCCAATCCAGAAGCTCGGAAATTCTACATGTTGAAATAACTCAAACCCCCGAACTTTCACTACATATTCAAACCATACTCAGTCGGTTCAATAAAGAAAGTAAATTCAACTTAACTGGGACGTTCTGATCACGGGGCTATCGACTAGATAGAATAGAATGGTTCCATTCATTAACACTATTCACAAGAGGCTCTGACTGGGCGTTTGCACGTGATCATTCAGTCATACGTATTGTGAAGTTACTGACGTTGTGGTTGACACTTTAGTCTCATATGCACTGGGGTCAGGATGCAAGCTCTGATCCGGACAAAACTATGCACTATTGATGAGCTCTAATAAGAGCAAAACTCGAATCTAGTACTTCTTTTGGAAATGGGCTGGCAGAAACATTTATCCGACTGCGAAGGCTGCGGTTAAGTGTAGGTGGTATTCAATTTTGAAATAACCCAAATCCTCGAACCTTTTCTTCAGCTGCTTCCTTATCATCTGACTCGACCTGTCGAGTAACCTAACTAGTTTATAGTAAAATGAATCGGACACATACCCGATATTTAGCTGACGTACTTAAGTTTACTCATTCTGATAGGATTGAGCATTAAGCTCGAGGGTTGCTCCCTAACTGGAGCATGTCAAGGTTCCATCTCCTCTACGGACCGACAGGTGCACTTCATCCTTCTCGACGGTGAAATAACTTGTCAACTTCTTGAGGGCAGAAAGACTGATAACATCAAAAGCACAATGAACCATCCTTGACAATTTTGTTTGTGAAGGACCCAACAAAAATTTCTTTCGAAAATACTCATCGAAGTCACGAGAACGACAAAATGGAGAACATGACTTGTTTTTTATGTTTATTCATTGGACTACTTACACCACAGTAAATATGAAGGCTGTGGCCGAAGTGAGGCAGAAACACAGTCAAAAGTGGTGGTGGACGGTGTGTTTGTTATTAGTTACGCAATCACTGTTCCAAATTGTTGACGTGTTTGTCTGTAGGCCAGGGGATGTTGTGTTCGCACGAACTTCTTTTGATCGCGGAGGTCAAGGTTGGAGCATCGGATACTAATGGCCTCACCAACAGTTAACGTTCAGTTTCTTTGCTCTCGGTAGAAAATCTCAGGGGCATCTTTCTTACTGATAAAATGACTGGAGTCGGCCAAATATGCTACACTAACAAGTTTCTTATCCACAGAAAGTGAATCAGGTTTCAACTTTACAGCCTGAATCATCTTCTGAATGAAAAGCATTGGGTAACCATTCTGGACGTAACTTCCTTGCAGAAAAATCTGGCTAAGCCTATAAAGTGTCAGGGTTGCTAATCTCTAACTCCCTTCCCGTCAAACTTCTCACTAGGTTAGCGAAACAAAACTGTCAACGTGAATCTACTGACCACTCCAAGTCTCTTTTCTATACAGTTTTCTTCTTACTAAACGAACATCCAAAAAAGTTATCGGACCGTCATTATCCGACTGTTGGTGATTTTATTACTGCTACGGATTAACTTAAAAGCTGTCATAACTCTGCTGTTGTTAAAACTCTCATTAGTGACGTAAAAATAGCGTCAACGTAGCGTTCATAAAATGCAAACTGTTCTGTGACTGCATTCAGTTGTTTAGTCTTCAGTTTACTCACGAAAACGGCAGCTAACAGAGAACCTAGAGACGACCCCATTACCACTCCGTCTTCTTGTCGGTAGATTGCAGAAACTGAACGTTAATTGTACAAAACATCAACAGTTCTCGCAGTTCGTCTTTTGGGATGCCCCTGTGCTCGTTGTTATGTTTGATACAGTCGCATAGGCAGTCAAATGTCTTCTGTAGAGGGACTTTCGTAAATAATGAAGAGACGTCGAACGTAAACACTCTTGGATTCTTTAGGTTCAGGTATTGGATTACATCAATGAGACGAAACGTGTCGCGGAGATTATGCTTTGTCAAATTCAATCTGATGAGTTCGAGCAGACCGGTGGATCACTTAGCCAGATCATGGTAAGACGTATCTAAAATGGGTCTCAAAAGCAAACTGGCCTTTTGCATTTCGGGCGGACTGTATAGCATATGGATTATTGTTCCAGTGAAACGTACACATTCGAAAGTGGCCGTATCACTTATCCCTTTTTGTTTTATTCGGTGCAACGTTCTAGTTGACGTCTGGCAAACAAATGTATCAAAATCCAGACTAGTCAAAGATTATTTAGTTGCCTTCGGAGGGCTGAGTGTGAGGACGGCAATCGATTGTGAGTAGCACTCAACACATGGCAAGTGAAAACTGCATCTACGCGCTACTAACAAGCCTGTGACGGTACATTTCAGTGACAGTACATTTTCATCCTCTTGTTATCATGACTCACCTACTTTTGGTTTACATACGGTGAGATTTCGTCACATCATTTTTAAAAAAATGTATGGATAACCATCTTCTAACATACTTTTCGTATAATTATACCCAGCATACTTCCGAACTTGTCCACCTGTGCGTTAATCTGTGTACTTGTTTGATGTCAAATACGGATGTACACAATTGGGATGTCTATCAAGTTATGTTCATGTTTACTTTTCCTGTAGACTGGATTCGACAGAGGGTTCTTTTGAACCGTCGTGGATATCAGTGAGCTAAAAATTCTAGAAAATGTAATTACACACTTTTGCTTAAAAGCAACATGTTAATTCAGTTTAATTTGAGAAGTTTAAGAATAGCACTAATTGCTTCAGTTATTCAATCAGTGTTTTCACGAGGTAGACATCGTATTCACAGATATCGATTTCATGCTAGTCTTCCCATCGAAAGTTCCGCTAATTTGCATAAATTTCCACATTTTTGTAAAATATACCTTCTGGGTTAAACGGTATTTTTTGCCTGATATAATAGGAACCAGTTCAGGTTATGTTATTTTTCAATTCCATCTAATGACTGGACGTTGAATACTGTTGTTTTTTTGTAATAAACCTTACATTATAGCACTAGCTGTATTTAATCGAGTGGAAAATTCCAGTCCATTAAAGGAAAAAAGACAGTATGCACGGATGTAGGCAAATCGCAATAATAAATACTTATCACCCCTGTTGGTGGTGATCCGTTCAGTAGTTCAACGGACTGAAAGAATAAAACGAGTTGTATGATAGTACGCAGTCTATTTACTGTAATGTCCAAATACACTGAAGATGTTTAGGCGTCCAGCTGTGAGGAAAACGCAGAAAGTAGTAGGAGGACAAGCACGAAAGCAGGGGGTGGGCAAATGTACATTTAATAAGAAGCAAAACCACACAACTCAAAAGAGTACCATGCACCACTGAGCGCATCAGATATTTCCACTTTTTAAGTTAAACACCACCCACATTCGATCGTAGTTTTTACATTCAGATATACTTTCTAGCCAACATCTCTCGAAGGAAAGCACTAGACTCCTGGTAGAGCTCGTCAGTTGTGCATATCTTTTAACACAGCCACGAGTTCATGAGGCAACTTTTTTGATCACTGCGTCATTGACCTCATATTAAGTAAAACTTAATTATCATATATGAACGCTAAACCGCTTCTACTTGTGAGTACTGATCACGTTGTCGGATCGACTGTTAACTCCAATCAATAACCCTGCGATTGGGACTTCTTAGACAAGTCGAACTCTCCGATCTCATCAAACCCCGGTTTCGGCAATGATACACACTACTGACGAGGTTTAACAAGAGCGAAACTCCAGTCTAGTGCTTCTTTTCAAAAACGGCTGGCTGGTAAGTTTATCTGAAGGAAAAATTACGATCAAACGTGAGTGCTGTTCAACCTAAAATTAATCAAATCTGTGACTGCTCTTCAGTAGTTTCAATCTCGTTTAAACGGTTCATGTTAATGGTTCATGAACTAATTGTGACACGTTTGCTTGACTATTTTTCCTTCACCCCATATGGTCTCCACAACATATATATTACAATGATGCGGCTCAACATTTTACCTGAGCATGAAACCTGTGATGTTCAAGTGAAAAATTACAGAGTTTATTTTACTCTGCTAACAGTATTTTCGACTTCGTTAGCAGGGGCCGATTGGAGTACATTCTCGTTTAGTTCGCACTAATTCAATCGTCATCTACGACTTTCATTGCAATCTTGATGGAATGGTCTATTTTGCCTCCATATGTTTTGTTGCTCACGATAACCGTTGTACATTGGTTGAATCTAAGACGTTTCCTCTTGATAAGGCAACAGGGGCGGGCGTGCGCTCACTGTTAAACTGCAGTGCTACCTTGGTTCTCTGGTCTAATGAGATCGAACCCGAAAACAGTGTCCCTTGTTACTGGATAAGTAAAACCGCAGTCCTTGTTTTCACCGAGTTAATACTCAGTTTTTGCCGCAGTGGTCTAAGTTTAGTGCTGTGAGTTCTCGAGAGTGGCTATTAAAGTCTGTTTCAGAACTGAGGAAAACGAATCACCAAGAAGGTCTCGTACACGTTAATTCCAATAAACACGATGGCTCACCGACATTGGACAATGTTTCAGTTGAGTTCTTTCATTTAACTGAAGATATTCATTTCTAGAAAATGCCATCCACTATATAGTGGTGCAAGTAGACGTGGTTTCATTAGTTAATTGCAGCTGACTATTAGTTGACGAAACAAAAGTTCTCAGGATGATATTGCACAACGTAGTAGTCTATTGATATGTGCTAACTGCTGGTAACATACTAGTCTCTGTTGTTTCTTATACAAAGAAATCCATCGATATTCACCATAACATCGATGAATGTCACTGTCCTGTTGGTAATGTATCTTTCAACATAAATTGAATTCACTCAAGCAGATATTCAGACTGAGACGGAGTAAGCTCTAAGCGACAAAAACTTGACAAGTTTTTCAATAGCCGATAACGGGATACAGTGATCCGACACAACTGAAATTCTTCCCTTCCTCTTATCTAATTGGTTTTTTAAACGCATGGGTTGATTTCGATCACGTTACTAGAAATCCTAATAAATCGTTTCACCTTTTCAATCAAAACAGTAGAATGTACTTTT